AATGAATGAAACATATAGTTTATTTTCGGCTAAGTAACTACAACATAATCTGTTTCCAGCGTCACAATCAGCACTATATTGTCCGAATCACAGTACAGAGACTGAACTGCTGAGAGTCACCAATGAAATTCTTCTTAATAGACTTTAAGATCCAACGACGCGGACGGTAACAAGAAAGTCAAAAAGAACAATAGGTTTAACGAGCAAAACAACAAGTCTGCACGTGTATCATGCTTTTTTGTACGTTTTTGCAAAAATTTGATCTTAAGGAAGCACACAGTACTCACTTGATCGCGCTAAACTGTTCGATCGTGCCGAATCTCTGCGAAGTCGAGAAAAACAGAACCAAGTATCATTGGTATACTACTTCATTGTAAGCAGTCCGTGAATTGAAAGGGAAAGTAAGCTCTGTCATATTCCAAAAATATGCTCGAACACAAACAGTTTTGAAAATGGCATTCACAAGATCTAACTCGTACTGGTGCCTAAGTCCGTTGCGAAAAAGCCGGACGAGAAAACGGTCGTGTTTATCGTTGCCGTGAAATAAATATAAGAAGGAATCAAGCCGAATTATATAACGTTTCCTTTGCCAGAATTTTACTTTCGTCACAAAACTCATTGTAGGCTATGTACAGACCCCCCTCCCCTCAGGAAAAATCGACATACATTCTGATGAGTTCAGTTTGGAATGTGGCATGCCTCAGGGTTCCTGTCTAGGTCCCATTCTATTTATGCTGTGCAGTGTCGGCTCTTTGTCAAAACTTATCTCTCTGGAGTTCATTGTTATGCAGACGATACACAGGTTTACATTTCTTTCAGTCCTAATCTTACGTTGGACCAGCTTTCGCACGGAAAATTGTTTATCGGCTCTTGATATCGGATATTTGTTTGTGGATGTTTAATGAACAATCTTAAATTGAATGACGACAAAAACTGGATTTCTTATTATTGGCACAACAGCTGGAAAAGGTTGAAATCACGAGAATCCGCCTAGGTAACGCAGACATTCATCTACCCTGTAATCATCCCGTTCCCACTGCAAGGAATCTCGGTTCATAGTTTGACTCTTGACTAGTGTCCATGTCAAAGCATATTACAAACATCTGCGGTTCTAATTCTTCATTTTTCTATTTTTACAACATACGACGCGTCAGGAACGAACGTCAACGGAGACATTCATGCATTTCAGGCAGTATTCGTATCCAGTCGTCTTGACTACTGCAACAGCTTATTATATTCTGCCTGATTCCTCACTAAATACCCTACTGGAAAACGTGTACAGAATGCTTGTGCTAGACTGATTTTTAAGGAGTGCAAATTTAGTCACATAACGCCTCTTATTATAGAGTGACACTGGTTACCAATAAGATTTAGAATTAGTTTAAAATTCTTTTGATTGAGGATCTTCATGGTTTAGCCCCGTCTTTAATATCATTTCTTATTTCTTTTAGGCGTCCATCGAAATATAATCTTAAAAAATTTAAATGACAATGTTTCACTTAGTTTACCCAGTTTCATAACCAAATCAACACTTGCCGACAGGTTCTTTACTTGGGCTGCTCTGAAATGCTTTCTCATTCGATGTCAAATGCGCCAAGTGTTTTGCTGTTTTTAAAGTAACGCTTAAAACACTTATTTAGTTCAGCATATATTTTTATCATCATAACTTAGCATCTATCTTGTTTCGTGTTAGTATGTAACATTTTTATCATTGTAATATTTTCTTGAATTCCCCGCACCCAAAAAACTGACAACCAGAAATGCGGTGCGGGATAAGCAGACAATTCTTAGCCCATTTATTGAACTAACCAACTAATCACAAAACAAAAACAACTGTTTACACTGTTTAGACACCAAAAAATCAAACAAACTGTATACGTTTGATGCGGCCAAAGTAAACTGAATAAACAAAACCACTTACAACAACTGTCAATCATCAGGAAAACACAACTAAAATCGTTACAAGGAAATGGATTACAGGATTACAATCAAAATATAAAAAAGAACAAAAATTTAACTGTCGGCTTGTAAAAATCCACAATGAAACTTGTTTACTGTTCAGCGAATATATACTTGCTACTTTACATATCACACTTTGTTCTCATAATCTCATGCCGGCACTTAAAACACACTGCCGACAAATGCACCTGTGCTTGGGAATTCAAGAAACCATTTATCTTTTGTTTCATTACGCTTCGCTGCATTCAGGCAAAGATAAATGAACAATTATTGTGTATTTTTTAATTAAAAATTTTATTTTTATCTATTTAAATCTTAGACCTTACTTTCTACCTGACTGTCATGCGCATTTAAACATTTTTATGGACAATTTCGGGCTATAAATGTATTATTATTAGGTGAAATTCGAAAACTGGCAAGATGTCACGGTCAGTGGCGGCATCGATTGTCATGGAAACGTTCTACCCTAAACGCTTAAATAAAGAGTTATACTTAACAGTGAAGTCCAGATGTAGACGTTTTAATAATCTCAAGGGCAATGGAATATCGAAGTTTTATTATTGGTATTAGATTTTCAATTAAAAAGAGTAAAAACTGTTCAGCGACAACGGCCGGGAAAGATTCGAAGATCATGACGATGGAAAGCTCGACTGAAATTAGTTCCAATTGATCAAAGCAACGATCCAGAAGTATTTATTTATTAATCGTACACGTAGAGCTCGTCATTCTGCACTGAATAGCACCGAATGTTTAAAGTCTGTGCCGTTTAAACATGGATTATAAATCTTCGATATTCATGATTAAATCTTCCTTGAGCTACAAGTTGAACTACAGAGAAGTCGCGTCAGCATTATTCTGCTAGGAAATACTACTAGAAATAGCAATTTCGGTTAGGTTTGTTTAGGTAAATAACTGTTTTTTACATATGGTTGTGCATTATCTATCAACTTATCAGTGTTTTTAAGCGCAAACGCATAGGCCCAGCATTGGATCCAAGGTGAGCCTGTGTCTCACGGAAAAAAGGGTAGAATAAAAATATCATATTTTGATTTAGGGGAAATTTTACGCTTCTACATACTTCTCCGGCTACCACTGCTAGGACCAGCCATATCTTCAAGCTGAATGACTTCTTCAAAGTCTTCTACGGAGCCTGTGTAACCTTTGTTAGTATTTTTTACCCTTTTGTTATGCATTTAACGCGGCATATACTTTCTTAGTCGTCCTTTTTAATATTTTATGGTTCTGCATAAATTGGCCCTCTCTCGGTTTCTTGGAACTTATAAGCATAATATTTGTTTTTCCATGACGTCGAATTTCTCAGAAAAGGCATGTTATAAAACACATGCCCTCAGAGGGCATGTGATAAACGCCACGATAGCTCCGCGCCATAAAAAATTAAACGACTTAAACAATGGTTTACAAGCAACTACACCTTTTAGGAGGATATGAGTGAGACCTAAGGCCCATTTTTCGAAATTTTCATTTACTATACGGGCCCGAAAAATCCATAAATATATTTTAAATTCAAAACTCTCAAGAAATGTGGCGCCTGCTCTATACCCCGAACCAGTCCATTTGGGTTTTCCTAAACTTTCAAAGCTACTAATTTCGCCTCGTTATTAATCCAATTAGCTTTATTGGTTCGGTAATGGCATAGAGTTTCATATAAACGAGCCCCGGTACTTTGTGGCATAACTTTGTCCACCACACATTGGTTGCTAATTTTAGAACTCAAGGGTAATCCGAATAAATGTGCTAATGGGTTTTCAAAAAATGGACGGACACAGCTGTATAAGTGGTGACGACACAGCCGCCGTAAGGTTGCGAAACCGAGTCATTAAAATTGGGTCTGACCAGGGGACGTAAGGACCATTTTAAACAAGTAGGGTATATACGAGGGGAGGGGACGGGAGATAGAAGGCAGGGAGAAAAACCTGAGATTTTTGAAACGCCTTTTTTGACAAGGTGGAAGAGAGAAAGAGGGATAGAGAGAATAAGAAACGCGAGTGAAGTTTGTTTTCCCCCGCCGTCTTTCCCTACAACCAGCCCTTACTGTGTTTTCATGCTCATTTTTTCTGACTTTTCTTTGCACCCAGCTAGATCAGGCTACATGTCTTTAATTACTACTAAACTTATGATACTGGCAAAGAAAATAACTGTTTTATTATATACTAAAACAGTGAGATAATTGAGCAAAAAAATGATAATTTTTAACTCGTTTGCTATTTTAAGCCGATAAAGCCCTCTCTACATGTTTGACACAGGTCTGGAAATGGTCAAGGAAAACTGTCAGAGAATTTTACTTTCAGTTTGAGTCATGGAGATTTAAGTATTTGAAAAAAGTCACGGAAAAGTGAAATTTTAAGAGTACGTATTTATTATTTTTCCTCTACTTTTGTCGTTTTCTAACATTCAAAATTATTTCGTACATTTTGCGGTCATGAATCATGTTATATTGGTAGAATATGAAATTGAACAACAAGCTGATTTTGGATTTTCAAGAAAACCAATCCTTTTTGCACGTTGTGCTTAAAAGGACCTACAGGTGTCATTTCATGTACACTGAACGTGACTTGTTGAAAGCATAAATAAATGGGTGGAGAAGGTGGCTGTGAGGGAAGGGTCGAGTTCATAATCAGGATTAACTTGTTGAATTGTTTTAAATTAATTAAGTTGGTGAAGGAAATTTTACAATTGGTTAGGAAAAAGTCAGGGAAAAGTCAATGAATTTCAGAAACCTCTGGCTTTGTGTAGCATCCATGCTCTAGCTTTTACTGGAATGAATTGGATTGATCTTGACGAACTGTTTCAAAGCTTAACTAAAAACCAAACGAATTTTGATTAGCACTGCTATAGTATGTTTCGATGAGCTATTTTATTCCGGTTATAAGCGCCCCCACCCCACCCCCGATATCTTAAGCCCCCTCGTTTATAAACCCTGTAAACCCCTTTCGACGATGTATAGGCTCAGGGCTCATACACTGTGAGCGGCAGTTCATGGTATTTACATGCAGAAAAGGAGAAAATTCGCTACTAGCGCATCAGGAAATCAGGAGTCTTCTTTTCAAACGAGACGGAGCAGTGACACATTTGTAGCCTTCTTTGCACGATTTCTGCCCTAAATCGGCATTAGGTTCTTTATCCGGTAAGCACATTGTTCCAGGACCATCGCACGTCATTCTACAGCACTTCAAGCCCCTTGCATCGCAGCTGGTTTCTTCTATGAGGAGGTCATGATTAGGTTTACATTGAGGCACCTGACAGGACGAAAGAGCTCCTCCTTCATCACACTCGCAGTTTGAACAACCTAGATACAGAAATAATTCGTTCAGTTTTGGTCTATAATTATTCAATTTTTAGTTGATTTTTTCATGAACGTAGCATTAAGGATCGATTCACTTGAAACACTCAAGTATAACCGACGCTTTTCCTGTTGGAAAATTTTTGGTTTTTAAGCTCAGAAGCAAAAGAAAACTATAGCCGGTAAATGCGACGACTATGCTGCAAATAAATCCGCAAAAAATATTTTAATTTATAATTTGGAAGTGCTTTTGCTGTATGTCATTTTGCTGGAGGCTTGCTAGAAACATCCCAAGTGGGTTTATGCTTGTAAAACTATTTTAGCGAGGTAAAGTTAACGAAACAAGCGTGCTTCAGGCCAGTGAGGCCAATACGGCCAAAGCGTGTTCCATTTGAGTCAGTATCATAAAACAATAAAATTTGCTGCATTCACCACTCCCTCTGGGGATGATAATACTCCATTTAAAAGGTTACCCCTAGCATGCATTATGATTTGGGTACCCCAATGGGTGGGTTTAAGAGGGAAAGTGGAGCAAACTTTCTTGTCTTATGGAACAACGCAATGACAAGTTTTGCCAGCGTAATCGACGCTTGTAAGAAAAATCAACGCAGTATACTGAAGTCTAGTAGAATAGTACCTTCTTTAACTAACCAAGGACTTCTTTCATTTTTTCACCTACCTTTTACAATTAGAGTAGTTTGAAGAAACAGAACTGAACAAAATAGAGATTTGACTATCATATTTCACTCCGATAGGTTACCAAAGCTAAGCCTAACAAGGGAAAAATAGATCAAAACTAATGGTTAATTCTACTATAGGCCCGAAATAGAAAACGACGTCAAACGGAGATCTAACGATATCGTTTTATCTGATAGTACCAGCAAATAAACTTCAAAACATTGTTTGTTTTTTTTCGTAAGACTGGTAATTCATTTTACTTTTGTCTGAATCTCCACGTGATAACAACGCTTTAGAACCTTTGTTTGACCACTCTCGCGTTCTTAACACCAGTCCCTACGCAATTATATGAGCTGTTTTGTAGTCCAACCAGCTAGGCCCTAGTATGTCCTCACTGGATCCTCAACTATGCCTTAGTAGAAACGATACTTAATTGCTATCAGTATTAAAGCTAAACTTGATGTTTAAGGTCGGGCTGTAATACGGCAATAATCTAACAAAAAATAAGCTGAGTCACAGCTTGTACCCGGGCCTTTTTCTTAAACTGATTCGGAAGATAAATCTTAGCAGTATTGTTGGTGTTTGGAATACTTGAACCACTTCTAACGACCACCAATCTACGATGGGTACTATTTCTGTCTTGGGGAATGAGCACTTTTGATAGTTTTAACTTCCCTAAAACGATCATCTACCTCTGTATCTACCTGGGGCAGCCGCTGTGAAGAGGTTCGACTGCGGCCCTCAGTTTATTACACAGTGGAACCTCGATATAAGGAAAGGCTAAGAACTGACGAAATTTGTTTGCTATAACGAGATTTCCTTTTATCGAGGTTCTTTTCATATATTTTACCATTTCTCGGGTAAAAGAATATCGAGGACTTCGTAAACTAGAGGTTCGTTATATCGAGGTTTCACTGTATTCTAGTCCGTTCGTTTGCTGGGAATCAAAGCTTATTTGGACATGAGCCGGTGCTCTTCTAAGTTCGATCGATGACTAGGAAGGGGAAATGTCTTAAGTTGCAAACACATGATACATTCTAGCGACCATTACATGACCAGCCTTCGTATCCAAAACTAAGATAATTGGTAGACTAAACAGGTTCCATTATATAAATAAGCATCTGTACTACCATACCTTGAATGAAGAACGTAATTCAGTTTATCAGTAAAATGCAGACACTTAGAGAACTGACTTGAACGGAAAGCAATATATTTTTGTCTTCCAAAGATGAATATTGCCATACATCTATTCGATGAGTGGACGCTTGTTCTGTTAAGGTTAATTTAAACAGGTCACATGAATGTTTCTGACTCGGTTGGAATAATACCTGTTTTTTAGCAGGTATTTACCAGGGAAAGGTCTTCTCAAATCAATCTCCTCGAAATTTTCTTTAAAAAAGTTCTATTTTTCCAGGGTTCAAATTTTTTTAGTTAATTAAAATATCTAATAAAATTTAACCTGGTTAGGTGACGGCGTCTAATGTAACAAAAGCAAAAGATTATTTGTTTCATTAACACAGCGATACCGCGGTCAACACTACTATGGTGAATGCAAGCTCGTTCAAAAGTTTCAGTGCTAGAAGACCAACTGTCATAAGTTTAACCGATACTTTTAGGGATAACTTATGTGCAAAGTGAAGATATCTTGGAACTTTTTGTGTCTTAAGACTTTCTTTGTTAGGAAGCATTTCCGTATGGTCATCCAGCGAAGAAAATGGCGAAACGAGTCATATATTCAGGGGGGGAACGAGGCGGCCCCTTTCACCTCCCCAATCCCTTGCTAGACTCGCTTCCCCCAACGATTATTTGTATTATTTGCGCGCCTTCCTACCAAGGACAATGGTCCCAGGCTAAAAACAAGTCAAAAGACTGAAAGATCAGTTTCAATATTTTTGATCAACAGCTTATTGGCGTCATTTCGGAAATTGGAAGCTGGAACTCGATCAGAAGTCTGAAGTTGGAAGTGGCCCTTCTCGGCCACAGTATCCTCTTGACTACCCAGTGCTGTTAATATAGCTCTTTATTAGCCTTTAGCCTGCTCACACTATAACCTATGTGTCTGTGTCTTTTTAAAAATTCTTTGGTGATTTTGGAAGTGCCTGGAAGTTGCATTAGCGCGAAGATGGTCCGCTCCGGTCAGATTTCCAGAAACAAGCTTTTTAGGTGCGTCTGAAGCCGAAAAAACCGGCCGAAACTCCTCCCGGGAAAAGTTAACTGGATCCTGTAGGACGTCATGGCGGTAGAGGCAAAATGAGCTGGAAGATTTATAACTTCTTGTGCCAATTATTGTTGTTTTTGACGCATGCTATATGCACATACACACACTTGCACATTAAAAGAAGGAGAGTCTTCAGTAAAAAATCACTCAAAACCAACTCCCAACGGGTTAATTGTTTATGTTCCTGCTAAATATTGTAGCATTAATTGTGCTTATTAGCCTGCTAAAACAAAGAAAAAATAATAGTAGGAAGCGGTAGCGTTTTCCCTGAGGGGATAGCTACCTCCTCCAGTACCTCTTCTTTTTTTTCTCTTCTGTTTCAGTTAACACCGGAATAATTTTCTTAGATCAGTCACGAGTAACTGACGTGGCGCTGACTTACTGATGATTTGTGACTGTTCACCTTAAGTTTACAAGGTGATGCAGTAAGATGCAGAGAACTTATTAAGCCACTTACAGAGCTCTTCAGAGAGGGGCTGGCAGCTGTCCCAGCAAAAAGTTTGGATTGATCGATGTTAAAAAAAATAGCTTCAATCTTCTTCTTCTTAAAACCTCGATCGACGCAAGCGTGTTTTAGCTTGTTTTTGAACTAGGAATATTTTTTTCGAATGAATAATAAAAGAGTTATTGAATCCGGCTATTTTATGGTCTGAAGAATTATGCAGATCTTGGAGGGTCAGCTATTCTAGAAGATATTCTTCAAAAAGCAGTTGTAATCAGTCGAGTCGTATTTTTGCCGCTCTTGCTATGTTTTTAGGCCGCACTTCGGCTATTTCCTTTTTTGCTAAACAAATCGAGCGGTGTCCGCATCTTTTTGGCGTTTTTGAAAAATGCGCACTGAACACACTTACTCGGTTCCTAGCAATCAACGAATTCCTGCCAAAAAATAGGTTTTCGTCGAGCCTGCGATACAGCAATTGATACAGGTCAATAGATTTATTTGCCACATACGCGTATGTAGCCTGCGTTACAGACGAAACTAAACTGTGGTTAAGTCCGTCTGCGAAACAGCGCCAAATCATTGCTCTGGTCTCCCACCTGTGTACCAGGATATTTGCCAATCGGGATGAAATTCTTCCGGTAATTCGTTAAGTCCGTTGGGGACCCAGAACAAGGATATCGCGTATGGCGTTACATTTATTTTGCATTTGCCAGCTGGAATTTTTAATTGTTTTTGAACTTTAAAAACAGTAATTCCAACGAGCAAATTCGAAGGCTATACGCGTATGCTGCAAATTAATGAATTCACCTCAAATATTTCATTGACTTTTCTTGACTTTTCTAATTTCTTTTAGATACAAAGAAAATTCGTTGACTTTCGAAAACACATCCCTTATGTTCGTAAAAAGCTTCTATATTCAAGAGCGTCAATGAAATTTGTTCGAATCAAAGAGAGGAAAATTAAAGTGAACGCACGTGGCCTAAAGAGTTCAAGACACGGTGAGAGGTTTATTCAAGATTAATTTTGTTTGGCATTGATAGAACAAATATATTACGTTGTTATTCATTCAAAATATTTCTCCGTTTCTGATTGGCTAAAAGCACACGCATAATTAACAATAATTAATGAATGAGACTGAGTATCTTATGAAAAGTTATGGAGATCGAGGAGGGCGTGGCCGAGGCGGATAACACCCTCCGAGATCTCCATAATTCTTCATATGATACACGAAAGCGGAATTCAATAACTGTTTTATTCAGTATTCATTCAAAATAATACCTAGTTTAAAAACATGGCTGAAACATATTTAACTCCATCGATGTTAAGTTCATCTTCGATAGTGCACGTTTAGGATTATTCAGCTCCGCAAATATTCTCCAGTTAGCAGATGTCGCCCTTCGAGTTGTCTTCTTGCTGTTCTTGCCACGTTTTTAGTCATTATTTCGCCTAGTTCTTACTCTTGAAACGAGTGAAATGTCCGTCATTTTGTCTTCACAACCAAAAAAACTTAGCCCGTCCTCAGGTCTTCTTGGTTAACGGTGCATTAACCTGCAAGGAAGCTGCACTTTTGACGTCATCGGTTGATTAATCGCAAAATTCTTCCAAATTTGACCATCAGTGGCTGGTTATGGTGAATTATGCATGTGCCTTTAGCCAATCAGAATCGAGGAAATATTTTGAATGAATAATAATTCATCATAAAGAGCCACTGTTAATTTGGAAAGAATTTTGTCATATTGAACTGATGACGTGAAAAGTGCAGCCAAAGTTACAAATCAAGCGTTCTCTTCGAATCCAGGAGCGCGGGTGCTAAGCACGTAGAGTATTATACTAAAAAGTGACTGAGTGAGAAACACTTTCACGGTCGCTAGGAGATGTGGGCTACTGACAATCGTACAGCTGAATAGACAATAGCAATTGTTTTTTCAATTCGTTTTGGGCTGGTAAGATCAAATAAGAAACCCCTTCCTGCCCCAGGATGGAGTACTAAAAATGTCACGTCGGAAGCCCCCAACGGGTACGGACATATTTTCAACTTCATTCAATGGCTCCAGATTAAAATTTAACGCATGGTATGAAACGCATTTCTAGTAATTAAAATTATCAACTGAACCAGAAAAACAGCAAATCTTCTAGAAGAATAGAAGAATTTTGTTTTTTATTTAGTGAAATTCCTTGGTATTTATTGTACTCTTTTTGAGTATGACCTTCTGTTGTGGAAATATCAAACACATAAAAAATAACCGAAAACAAGCTTGATCTCGAGTGCATACTTCGAACACGATGAGCGCTATTTTGTTTCTCGTCCCAGTCTCCACCGCGCAAATTTTCCATCCTGACTGTGATCTCAAAACCATGTCCACCTTTCACGCGGTGATCCCCGATTCGTTTTACAGGTATTT